AGGTATATTGATAAGTATACAGGATGGTGTGGATTCATTATTACAATCTGAATATGTGCAGTTCTGATGACAGTGCAGGGCATAGCCCTCAAATTAGGAAGCATGGTTTTGCATTTGTCCACCTACTTTACTTTGTAAAACAATAGGGTTAGGTGGGATGCAATGGAGAGACCTTGTCTAACATTTCCTGTGTTTTCTTCTCATATGGGGGTGGGAGCAGCCTGTGGTGTGCCGCAGTATGTCATGGGAACAAGCCACCAAAAACATTGGCTCTGGAGCTAGAAATGATGAAATGTCCAAGAAAGTTTGCACTTGCCTTTGGCCATTGAAGACAGGCAGCAAATTATAAGTTGGACACGTGAGAAGTAGTGACTTTACAGAAAGAATCACATGCCATCTGCAGTTCAGCTTAGACATCTGTGACTGTAGGTCTAGCTCACTATCTGATAAGAGTTGATACTTTAGTTGAACAGAAACCATTGTTGAAAACATTCTTTTGCTGATCTGAAATCCACCTCTTTGGCTGCTTTATATTGGTCCTGACTCAGTCCTTTGGAGTAATAAAGAGCAGGTTAGAGGGCGGTATTGCTTCATTAGTCTTTCTTTTTCAACTTACATGTCACAAGTTTCTTTGGTTCTTCTACATATGCCATGTTTTGTGAGCCCTTTATCTCTGGTCATCCTTTCCTGGGTAGAGTTCATTCTATAGTGTTTATCAGATGCATGACAGGGATCAGTAACCAACCATGTTTGACTTTATCTGACAGTGTGAGAAGTTGCGAGTAAAATGCAAAAGCTGTTATTTGCATCTTGGGACAAGCTATATCAGTCATTGACTGCAGCTGTAATATGGTTAATTCCTTTGAACCTCATTTTCCTCAAACAATGACTAACCATTACTAATAAGAGAGTCTTAAGAAAGTTTTCTTGATATGAATAATTTGGATATTAGTAAAAAAGAAGCCAAATAATTTTGCTTTAATGGAAGAAAATGTATACCAGCCTTTATAGTATCAGATTCTTGCTAATATTGACCTTAATGACTAGTGTAAAAATCTAAGGAGAGTTTTCTAAGAGCATTTCAGGGCATTACAGCATTGTGTTATGATGCTCTTGGTGACATCATTAGCTTTATTGCTTGGAAACTGTTTCTTTGAATTAATTACAGTTAATTATCTAGTTTTACTCATAGGCATAAGTTATTTATATTTGATATCCATATTCTAATTCAGTCTTTCTTTTCAGTTGTCACCCACTTTTACTGATTGCTTAATTTTAATTTTACCAGGTTTAGTTTTTCTGTCACCTCATCATTTTGATTTGCTTTGGAGTGTTTACTGGCAGAGAGTTCATCTCTGCTATGAGGACACAGTGAGCAGGCCATTCAGTGTCTCCCCACATTCCCTACTCTGTGCAGTAGAAGGGTTTTACTTCTTTGACTCTTCTCCACCCTATCATTTTCCTTTCAATACCCAGAAGGATCATCTAAAACTGCAAATCATGTTGAATTAGTCTGTGCTTTTACTGTAATATCATAGCTTTCGGCTGCCCATTTCTTTAGCTTCTCCATTCTACTCAGCATCTTTTAGTCACGTTGACTACTCAGTTATTTTTCATTGCACTTCACAGTGTATAATCATGTGTGTTTTTGCTTTGTTGACAGATTATTACTTCCCCAGTACAGTAGATGACTGATGAGGGCAGAATACTGTATTTTCATTCACTGCCTTGAAACCCAATGCCAATCAAATGTGTTGCATGTAATGGATGCTACCATAGTGACATTCTTAAAATTCTGTGATTCCTTGTTTTTTTAAAAAAAATTTGAGATAGGGATGCAGCTTTTCCTTTCTCTTAGAGTATATCATGTCCTTCCCTGTCACTTGGACATTCATATTAAAGTGAAGTTTAACTTTAATTTTAACTTGGTAAGTCTCCAGTTACAAAGTTATGTGAAGGCTTGATAAGACCAAGATATATCAGCATCTGTTGGACTCTCTAGTTGCTTTATTTCTACAATACTGTACAGTGATTATGAAGTATTCCCAGGGACTTGCTTGAAGGTGACTTTGTAGCCTTGGCCTAGCCATGTCATAAAATGTGATCCTATTTGAAATTTTTAAATGTTATATTTGTTGTGCCATATGCCAGAAGTTTTCTCATTTTAATAGTGTCGGTATTAATATATGCCATTTGAACTGCAAGGATAGTACTACACTACAGCTGTGCAACCCAAATAAGTAAATTTTTGAGGTCAGGTTATAGAACACTGTTTGGCTGTTTATCAAGTGACTGAAAGAACTGGAGTATCTGCCAGGGTTGCCATTTGGTCCCCTTTTGTCACTTATTCAGCCTTTCTGTTTATCTTGGAAGTGGAATCCGAGAAGTTCATCCTATCTTGTCTCTTTTCAGCTTCCATTACAGGAGGTTGACTCATTTTGACCATTTGACTTTCATTTTCACTTACATCAGACAGTAAAGAGGGGCTGAAGCTCTTGAAAGAGATAGCCCTAATTAGTTTTTGTAGTTGATGTGTCTCTGAGAAATTAGTGCATTTCAATGCTTACCTCTTCAATACTGAATGTGTCTTGGCAGAACCCTATAGCTCATAGAAACCATAGCATAAAATTCTTTTTAAAATCCACAATGTTATTAACAAAGAATGTAGGCTAGATAAAGCATTTACTTTAGTGGTCTTGATAAAATGATTGGAAAAGGCCCTCTGACCAGTGTGACTAAAAGGTTTTGAGCAGAAGAAATAAGCTAGAGAGATGGGCAGAAAGGAGTTTGCATATTACAGTAGCATGTGGGATGCCATGATGAACAATTTTGTGATAGGCCCAGAACTGTACTGGAGGAAACCATTGAGTCCTATGGGGTTACTTGCAGTAACCAGGAAAAGGCTCAGTAAGTATAGGAAAAGTCAGGAATATCTTCCCCTGTAGCCTTTATATTAGATGCTTTGGGGGATGTTCTGGTTTGTTTTCTGTTGCTATGATAAAACACAAAAAATAACATGGGAAGGAAAAGATTATTTTAGCTTACAGGTTATAGTTCATCATCAAGGGAAGCCAAGGCAGGAGCTTGAAGCAGAAACTATGGAGGTTTGCTGTTTACTGTCTTGCTTCCCTTGGCTGGTTCAGCCTCTCTTCTTGGTACCTAGGGATGGTAGGGGGGCTGGTCCCCCCTATATTAATTAGCAATTAAGAAAATGCCTCCCAGATATATATATATATATATATATAACCACAGTCAGTCTGATGGAGGAAATTCCTCAGTTGAGGTTCCCTCTTTGCAAGTGATTCTGGGTTGTGTCAAGCTGATGGCTAAAGCTAATTATGATGGGGAAACTCTTAAGCTTTCCCATTCACAAATGTACTTAAGTTTTAAGCAGTAGTCAGATGTGAGATGGGCTAATGTTATGGAAAGCAGGTTCAGGGAGGCAGGGAGATCTGAGCTAAATTTTCTATCCCAACAATTGCTAGTGAACTTGAATCAGTTACTTAGTTTTTACACTTACTCTTAGCCAAAAGGCCGAGAAATGATTAATTACTTAGTTTTTCTGAGGCCCATTTTTATTCTATAAAAAGGAAAAAAATATCAGGTATGACTGTTGTATTAATATATGAGATATTCTACCACATGGCAAATGGTCAGTAAGTTAATTTTCTTCTTGTACATTAGTATTCTAATTGTTTCCTACAGTGGTACAAATTCTTTGTTCCACCAATTCAGAGACTGGCTTCCCCAGTCTGTTGGGATCCAGTAAGGGTTATCTTACCTGCAACTATCTCTCCAAGAATGTAGATGCAAATTAGACCCCTTCCCCATCCGTGTCCCCTTCTACCTCCCCCACCAGACCTCGTGCATTCTGTCATAGATATTAAGTCCTATCCAATCAAACATTTGTATCCAGATGTCCTTTGGTGCAAGTTCATACACTGGAGTCTAGTCAGCCTACCTAGACATCTGTTTTTTTAGTTAGCATTACAAGTTCTAGATGGAGAACCAGAAAAAAGTCAGAACAGGGCAAATTTCAAATGTTCATATCAGAGTCCATTGGGATTTCTTGACGAGAGCTTCCAAAAGCATCCCTCTATTGGGTTCCTCCTCATTTTTCCTTTATCTGCCAAGGCTGGGCTCGAGAGTGATGGATTCAGCATTTGCTTTCAGGTATTTTGATAGCTGTTGGAATGGTTAGAATCAGTGTCAGTTCCCTTACCTAGAGATCTTAAAGAAGATCTACTCTCCCTCACCCAGCAGTAGTTACCAACAGTTCCCAGGCTAGGGTTGGGGCCCTTGGTTCAAGCTGGGCCTTTGTCTGATTGAGTCAGCATGGATCTTGTGCATGACTCCACTATTTCCAAAAAATTCACATTAGCAAGCTTCCAGTGGCCTGAAAGCCTCTCTTTTCCTATGTTCATGAACCACCTCCAGCTCTTACAATCTTTCCTCCCCTTCTTCTGCAGTGGTCCCTGAACCCTGGGTGGGTGAGGTTTAATATAGGAGCCCTATTCAGTGACACACACTCTGCAGTCTCTTATTCTCTGAAACCTAGCCAGTTGTGGCCTTCTGTATATATTGTACTCTATTGTATAAGGACACTTCATTGGTGAGAGTTGAGGGATGCATTAGTATTTTCTCCACCCCCTGTTCTGTTATGTTCCATGAGCTTTAGGAATAGAGGTTCCACTGTAGATGTGTCACCTAAGGCTGGGCATATCTCAGACATGTGACTAGAATAAATGTTACCAGTTGATCTATTTCTGATGAATTATAAGGCCCTGGGTTTTATCACCAGAACTGCACAGACACATGCATGCACGCACTCATGCATGCACACATACTTATGCACATACACACTTGCATGCACATGCATACACAGACACATAAACACATTTATATGCACACACATACAAGTGTGATCATATTTTGGAAAGTTTAATGATATTAAAGTTATTCTGTTATTGACCATAACTTTTTTAAATATATGTCCCCAGGGAAGGAAAAATATGCAAGATGGTGCAAGTGATGGTGAAATTCCAAAATTTGATGGTGCTGGATATGATAAGGATCTGGTGGAAGCCCTTGAGAGAGACATTGTGTCCAGGAACCCTAGCATTCACTGGTTAGAGTCTTTCAAGTTCTTGATTTAAAGTAGAGCAGAACAACAAGTCATAGATTGGGCTGGAGTCAGTCTTCTCCTGTCCACTGGTTTGCTGATAATGCCTTCATCTATAACATGAGCACATAGGATTGCAGAATGGTTGGTCAGAATCTAACCAAGTACGTTTTACGTGTTAATTGTTGACATACTGACAAAGTTTGTTAACTAACATATTCTAACCAGTAACTCCAGTATGTTTTGACTGTCATTTTATACAATAAAAATTATAATAATGTCTTAATATAAGAATAATTTTGTAAGTAAACAAGTTTAAATAGTTTTGACTATAAAATTAAAGATGTCCCTTGAATAAACACGAAACTTTGTTCTTCCCAAGGGATGACATAGCAGACCTAGAAGAAGCTAAGAAGTTGCTGAGGGAAGCTGTTGTTCTTCCCATGTGGATGCCTGACTTTTTCAAAGGAATCCGAAGGCCGTGGAGGGTGAGAGTTTTTACAGTGGTTTTGAAGTGAGTGCTGTCTGTGTGGTGATAAAAGGCAGGAGTCCTGTCAATCTCTGTGTACTTAAAACCATTTGCAAAGGTCAGGGAAGGTTTTCACACACCCAAACACTTGGATTTAAATTTGTAGTTGAAATGTTCTGCAGCTGCATGATAGGAGAGATGGGCTTGGAGAGGTCAAACTACCATCTTCATCTTCAAACTTCTCTCAGGTGCTGAACTAGACGTTGTGTTTAAGAATTTTCTAGATGGCTGTTTCTGTAAATAAAAAGTTAAGCAAATTCAACAGTAGTAATAGTATGTACTCTTATAGAATAAGTTTTAAGCTAGGTGTGGTGGTGCACGCCTTTAATCCCAGCATTTGGGAGGCAGAGGAAGGCAGATCTCTGTGAGTTCAAGGCCAGCCTGGTCCACATAGTTGCAGGACAGCTGAGGCTACAAGGAGACCCTGTCTCAAAAAGACCAAAAAAAAAAAAAAGATTAAATATTTTGATACATATTTCTGACTAAACGTTAGTTATGTTGATCATTACTTAATCCCTGCTCAATATAATCCTTAGGCATAATCAGAATGTTTGTCTCTTTCTAGCTTGTTCTCTCTCAAAGTTAAGGGCTCACTCAGAACTATTTTGTCCTAAGCCCAGCATTCATTTTGGCATATTAAAGAACTCTTCCAAGTTACATGACTCTTCAGATTTCTTAATTTTTTTTTTTTTTTTTCGGTCTTACCCATAGGCAGAGCTTTACTTTGGTTAGTAGAATTAAGGGAAAGCGCAGTCTCCCTTTGCCCTTAGCTGGGAGGGCTTGCTGCTTTGCCTAATGCTTTGCCTAACACCTGTGCTCATGCACTGAAAAGATAGGAGAGGACAATTTGTATTTATCTGACTACTTTGCAACATGTGATTTTGATTGCCGCTCATACCTTGGAAACTTTACAGATTGCAGTTATTATAGGTGTTTTTCCTAAATAAATGTTTTTAATTTCTGACATAATTATCCATATGGGAGGGTTACAGTGCGATATCACACTATGTATATATAATGTGCGATGATCAAATCAGAGTTATTGGCATACCCATCCCTAAAAATATTTATTATTTATTTGTGTTGAGGACAATCAAAATCCTCTCTTCTAATTAATACATGATCAACTGTTGTCCATAGTTAACATATTTGGTTGTAGAATAGTAGAAGTTACTCCTCCTATCCAGCTTGTTTGTTGGCCACTTTCTCTGCCTTCCCCTTCCTTCCCTGACCACCATACTTCCAAGCTTCTGAGAGCACTGTTCTACACTCTGCTTCTATGAGAACAACTATTTTTAGCTTCTACGTATCAATGAGAATGTGTAGTATTTGTCTTTCTGTGCCTCACTTATTTAACATAATGTCCTCTAGACTCATTCATATTACTACAAATGACATGATCTTAGTCTTTTTTTTTTGGTCTTTTTGAGACAGGATCTCCTTGTAACCTCAGCTGCTTGCAGCTCACTGTGTAGACCAGACTGGCCTCCATCTCACAGAGATCCGCTTGCCTCTGCCTCCGAAGTGCTGAGACTAAAGGTGTGTGCCACCATGCTGAGATAATTAGATCATTCCTTTTTAAAAAAATTTTTTTAAATTTTATATGTGTGAGTGTTATGCCTGCATGTATGTAAGTACACCCATGTCATACAATGCCTGCAGAGGACAGAAAAGGGTGTCAGATCCCCTGGAACTGGAGTTACAGATGGTTGTTAGCAGCCATGTGGGTGCTGGGATTTGAACCTTTGTCTTGTGTAAGAATAGCCAGTGCTTTTAACTGCTGAGCCATCTCTCCATCCCCAAGATCATTCTTTTTATAGGCAAATAATATTCCATTGTGTACATGTAATACATTTTCTTTATACATTCAAGAATTGATTGATACCTAGGTTTATTTCCTATCATGGCTGTTGAGAGTAGTGCTACAATAAACATGGAACTGCAGACACCCCTTATACATACTGATATATATGTACATATGTGTATGTATATATATATATGTACACACACATACACAGTACTGGGAATGATGATGGTAGTTCCCTGTGTAATTTTTTGAGAATGGCTATGCTCTTTTCCATAATGGCTGTACTAGTTAAATTCCCATAGCATATGAGAGTTCCTGTTTCTCCATTTCTTTACCAGCACTTTTTTTCTTTGTTTCTCATTGTGGTTTTGATTTGCATTTCCCTGATGATCAGTGATATGGGACATGTTTTATTTTGGTCTTTTTGAGACAGGGTCTCCCTGTAGCTCCAGCTGGCCTGGAACTCACCATATAGACCAGGCTGGCCTTGAACTCATAGAGAGCCACCTGCCTCTGCCTCCTGAGTGCTGGGATTAAAGGTGTATACCACTACTCCTGACATGTATATCTTCTTTTGATACATTCATTAAGATCATTTGCCCACTTGTAAACCAAGATTAGTGAGTGGTTTTGTAATAAGCTGTCTGTTTGTTTATATGTTCTGAGTGTTAATCCTTTGTTGGTAAGTCCATTCTGTAGGTTATCCTTTAGCTCCATGAGTCATTTTGTTTGCTGTGTAGAAGAAGCTTTTCAGTTTTATACAACACTGTTGACATTTTTTGCTAGAGCAAAAAGAAGTTTTACCTAGACCAATGTCCTAGAGGATTTCTGCTCTGTTTTCTTTGGGTTGACATTTTTAGATGATATTTATATATGACAAGAGATAGAAGTCTGCATATGGCTATCTATTGAAGGGCGCACACACCCCCTTTTAAATGCATGTTCTTAATGTCTTTGTTGGAAATAGGTTTTCTGTAAATAATACATCTATTTATTTCTAGGTTCTCCATTCCCTTCCACTGGTTTATGTTATCTGTTTTTATACAGATGCGTGCTGTTTTGTTTCTTTAGCTTGGTAGTATGTTTTGGAGCAGGTATTCTTACCACTTTATTCATTTTGCTTATGATTTCTTTGGCTGTTTTGAGTCTTGGTTTCATACACATTTTTAGGGCTGTTTTCTCTAGCTCTGTGATAAATATTATTGATAATTTGATGGAAATTGCATTAAATCTATAGATTGCTTCAGATAACATAGTGGTTAGTTTTAGTTGTCAACATGACAATCTAAAATTGCTTGGGAAGAGAGTCTCAATGAGGAATTGCTAAGATTAGGGTGGTCTTGATTACGTTAATTGGTGTGGGAAGACCCAGCCTAAACATGGGTGGCACCATCCCCTGAGATTGGGCCTGGACTGTATAAATGCAGAGAAAGTGAACTGAACACAAACACGAATGCACTCATTCTCTCTGCTCTTGACTGTGACTAGTTGCTTCAAGTTCCTGCCTTGACTTCCTTGCAGTGAAGAACTGTACTGTGGAATTGTGAGCCAAACAAACCCTTTGTTCCTTAAAGTTGCTATTGCAGGGTATTTTATCACAGCAACAGAAATAAAACCAAGATCGTATGGATATTTTAACAGTACTAATTGTGCCAATCCATGAAAATGGGATGATTTTCGTTATTTTTGTCCTCTTCAGTTTCCTTCACGCCGTTTTACAGTTTTCATTTGTAATATTCTTTTTCCTTCTTTGTTAAATTTATTACTAGGAATACGTGTTTGGTGGTTGGTAGTATTGTAAGTGGGATTGATTTATCAGTTTTCAACTAGTTTGTTATTGGTGTGTGGAAATGCTACTGATTTTTGTACATTATTGTAGTTTTTGACTTTATCAGTTGTTTACTGGTTCTAACAGTGTTTTGTGGAATCTTTAGGCTTTTCTATAAGATTGTCACCTGAAAACAGGGATAGTTTAACCTTCTCCTTTACAATTCTTCTGTCCTTTTTCTTGTCCAGGTACTCTAGGTAAAACCAATACTGTGTTGACTAAGCGTGGTAAAAGAGGGCTTTGTTTCATATTGGGGGTAATACTTGAACTTTTCTCCATAGAATATGATATTTATTGTTGATTTTCATACATGGCTTTAATTACATTAAAGAATTCTCATTATATTGATGTTGAATTTTATCAAACTTTTTCTGATCTATTGATAACCATTAATTTTTAATCCCTCATTCATTTAATGCCATGTATTATGTCTAATGGTTTGTATAGGTTGAATAATCCTTGCATCTTTGAGATAAATCTCATTTGATCATGGTATATAATCTTTTTGATGTGCCTTTAGATTCAGATTTGGTTTGCTAGGGTTTTGTGTTTGTGTTGTGTACATATGTGCAAGTGTGAATGTGTGTGTGTGGGTATGCTCACTGGTACAGACACATACGGGGGCCAAACGTTAATGTCTCTTCACCGTGTGTGTGTGTGTGTGTGTGTGTGTGTGTGTGTGCGCACGAATGTGTATGAGCATGTGTTATAGCATACATGTGGAGGTCAGAAGATAACTTTCTTCTTCCACTATGTGAGTTCCAGGGAACTGAGGTCATCAGGTTTGGTGGCCACTGAGCCATTTTGCCAGGCCTCTCTACCATATTTTTTGAGACAGGGCTCTCAGTGAACCTGGAATTCACCATTTTGGATAGGCTGACTGGCCAGCAAGCTTCTGGGATCCATCTGCTCCATTCCCTAAGTGCTTAGATTACAGTGTGCACGCTGTCATTCCCAGCTCTTTACATGAGGGCCAGACTCAGCTCTTTGTGATTGCATAGCAGACACTTTACCCATTGAGCCATCTCTCCAGCCCCTGCTGCTAGTTCTAGTCTGTGGAGTTCTCAGTTATATTTTTGTTTTATTAAACTCTTTGGCTACAGGATTTCTGTTTGGTTCTTGTTTAATGATACCTGTTGCTTTATTGAATTTCCTGTCTAGGTCATGAATTATAATTCTAATTATTGACTTGCTTGTCTAGATTCTCATAGTTCACCAAGCTTCCATAAGATCATTATTTTGAATTTCCAAAATTTTTCTTTGCCACTTACAATGGAAACATTGCCTTTACTGATAGCTTAGGATTCCAGTAGACAATTCTTCA